TGTGGCGATCTGTGATCCCCTTCATTATCCGACCAAAGTCACCTCAACAAGAGTTTCTGTCTGTGTTTGTCTGTGTTGGATATCTTCTTTAATCTCTGTTTTTGTGCTAATGAGAGAAAACCTCAAACATCTGGGAGAGTTTAAATCCTGCTCTGGAGAATGTGTGATTTATTCGGGTTTTATTGAAAATGTTTCAGATCTAATTCTGACCTTCATAGCTCCAGTTTCCACCATCATATGTCTGTATCTCAGAGTATTTATGGTGGTTCTGTCTCAGGTTCGGGCCATGCGCTCTCACATCACAGCTGCCTCACAGCAGCATTCAGGGAAAATAATCATTAAGAAATCTGAGCTGAAGGCAGCCGGGACTCTGGGAGTTGTTGTCGTTACTTTCCTTTCATGTATTTTCCCATATTATTTTGTGTCAATTACAAGTGAAAGCCATCCATCCATCCATCCATCCATTGTCCACCGCTTATCCGGGGTCGGGTCGCGGGGGCAGCAGCCGGAGCAGGGAAACCCAGACTTCCCTCTCCCGGGCCACTTCAGCCAGCTCCTCCGGGGGGATCCCGAGGCGTTCCCAGGCCAGCCGGGACACATAGTCCCTCCAGCGGGTCCTGGGTCTTCCTCTGGGCCTTCTCCCGGTGGGACGAGCCCGGAACACCTCCCCAGGGAGGCGACCAGGAGGCATCCTAAACAGATGCCCGAGCCACCTCAGCTGGCTCCTCTCCACGTGGAGGAGCAGCGGCTCTACTCCGAGCCCCTCCCGGATGGCCGAGCTTCTCACCCTATCTCCAAGGGAGAGCCCAGCCACCCTGCGGAGGAAACTCATTTCGGCCGCTTGTATCCGCGATCTCGTTCTTTCAGTCACTACCCAAAGTTCGTGACCATAGACGAGGGTGGGAACGTAGATCGACCGATAAATTGAGAGCTTCGCCTTTAGGCTCAGCTCTCTCTTCATCACGACAGACCGGTACAGCGCCCGCATTACTGCAGACGCCGCACCGATCCGCCTATCGATCTCACGCTCCCTACCCCCGTTCGCGAACAAGACCCCGAGATACTTGAACTCCTCCACTTGGGGGAGGACGTCCGCTCCGACCCGGAGGAAGCACTCTACCCTTTTCCGGTGAGAGACCATGGTCTCGGACTTGGAGGCACTGATCCTCATCCCAGCCGCTTCGCACTCGGCTGCGAACCGCTCCAGTGAGAGCTGTAGGTCCTGACTTGATGAAGCCAACAGGACCACATCATCTGCAAAAAGCAGAGATGCGATCCTAAGGCCACCAAGACTGACACCCTCGACACCTCGGCTGCGCCTAGAAATCCTGTCCATAAAAGTTATGAACAGGACCGGAGACATAGGGCAACCTTGGCGGAGTCCAACTCCCACCGGAAACGAGTCCGACTTACTACCGGCAATGCGAACCAAACTCTGACTCCGGTCGTACAGGGACCGAACAGCCCGTAGCAAAGGGCCAGGTACCCCATACTCCCGGAGCACCCCCCACAGGATACCCCGAGGGACACGGTCGAACGCCTTCTCCAAGTCCACAAAACACATGTGGACTGGTTGAGCGAACTCCCATGCACCCTCCAGGACCCCGCTGAGGGTATAGAGCTGGTCCAGCGTTCCACGGCCAGGACAAAAACCACACTTTTCCTCCTCGATCCGAGACTCGACTATCCGACGGACCCTCCTCTCCAGAACCGCTGAATAGACCTTCCCAGGGAGGCTTAAGAGTGTGAACCCCTGTAGTTGGAACACACCCTTCGGTCCCCCTTTTTAAATAGGGGGACCACCACCCCAGTCTGCCAATCCAGCGGGACTGCCCCTGATGTTCACGCGATGTTGCAGAGTCGCGTTAGCCAACGCAGCCCCACAACATCCAAAGCCTTAAGGAACTCCGGCCGGATCTCATCCACCCCCGGGGCCCTGCCACCGCGGAGCTTTTTGACTACCTCGGTGACTTCAGCCCCGGAGATTAGAGATCCCAACTCCGGATCCCCAGGCTCTGCCCCTCCAATGGAGGACGCGCCAGTGGGATTGAGGAGGTCCTCGAAGTACTCCGCCCACCGACCCACAACGTCACGAGTTGAGGTCAACAGCACCCCATCCCCACTGTAAACAGTGTTGGTGGGGCACTGCTTCCCACCCCTGAGACGCCGGATGGTGGACCAGAATCGCCTCGAGGCCGTACGGAAGTCTTTTTCCATGGCCTCCTCAAACTCCTCCCACGCCCGAGTTTTTGCCTCGGCGACCACCCGAGCCACATGTCGCTTGGACTGCCGGTACCCATCCGCTGCCTCCGGAGTCCCACAGGCCAAAAAGGCCCGATAGGACTCCTTCTTCAGCCTGACGGCATCCCTCACCGCCGGTGTCCACCAGCGGGTTCGAGGGTTGCCGCCACGACAGGCACCGACAGCCCTGCGACCGCAGCTCTGGGAGGCCGCATCATCGATGGAGGCAAGGAACACGGCCCACTCGGACTCAATGTCCCCCGCCTCCCTCGGAACGTGTTCGAAGCTCTCCCGGAGGTGGGAGTTAAAGCTCCGCCTAACAGGGGACTCCGCCAGGCGCTCCCAGCAGACCCTCACAACACGTTTGGGCCTCCCGGGTCTCACCGGCATCCTCCCCCACCATCGGAGCCAACTCACCACCAGGTAGTGGTCAGTGGAAAGCTCTGCCCCCCTCTTGACCCGAGTGTCCAAAACATGCGGCCGCAGATCAGCTGAAACGACAACAAAGTCGATCATTGAGCTGCGGCCTAGAGTGTCCTGGTGCCAAGTGCACATATGGACACTCTTATGTTTGAACATGGTGTTCGTTATGGACAATCCATGCCGAGCACAGAAGTCCAAAAACAGAACACCGCTCGGGTTCAAGCTGGAGGGGCCATTCCTCCCAACCACGCCCCTCCAGGTCTCACTGTCGTTGCCCACGTGAGCGTTGAAGTCCCCCAGCAAAACGAGGGAGTCCCCAGGGGGGGCACCCTCCAGTACCCCCTCTAAAGACTCCAAAAAGGGTGGGTACTCTGTGCTGCCGCTAGGCGCATAGGCACAAACGACAGTCAGGACCCGTCCCCCCACCCGAAGGCGAAGGGATGCTACCCTCTCGCTCACCGAGGTAAACCCCAACGTACAGGCACCGAGATGGGGGGCAATGAGTATGCCCACTCCTGCTCGGCGCCTCTCACCGGGGGCAACGCCAGAGTAGCAGAGCGTCCAACCCCTCTCGAGAAGGCTGGTTCCAGAGCCAGAGCTGTGTGTCGAGGCGAGATCGAGACCGGAAGTGAAAGCACCTCCCTAAATTCTCCAGCTGTTGGCTTTGACATTTATTTGGTCCACATGAATTCCTTATTCAACCCTCTGATCTATGCGTTTTTCTATTCTTGGTTTAGAAAATCTATTAAACTTATTCTTACATTTCGATTACTGAAACATGGCTCTCGTGATTTTTCTTTTTCCTCATAATAACGCTAAGATCTGCTCTGTTTCCACAAAGATTTGTGGCTCTGTGATACATAAAGTTCATTTGACTGAGTTACTCAGAATTTAGTAGATTCATATTAATTGTTGTCAGGGAGTGAAGGGGCTCTGGGGATTGTAGTAGTTATTTTCCTTTCATGTATTTTCCCATATTACTGTGTGGCAATTACAAGTTAAAGCACCTCCCTCTATGCTTCAGCTATTGGCTTTGATATCTATATGATATACATGAATTCCTTATTCAACCCTCTGATCTATGCCTTTTTCTACAGTTAGTTTAGAAATCCAATAAACTTATTCTTACATTTAAATAACTGAAACATGGCTCTCGTGATTTTTCTCTTTCCTCATAATGAAGCTGAGACGGGCTCCATTGCCATTAATTTTGGTTCCTCAATAATGTACAAAGTATAATTGACTGATTTATTGAGTTATCAAATATTCATCAGATCCAGATGGTTTGCTTTGAGTGAGTGAATCCATCACAGGCATTCAATAACATTTCCAGGATGACTCGTTAAAATTGAAAATTAAACTAAAACATGGGCCTCAAAGCAAAAAATGAAAGCATGTGTCCTCTGTGTTTGTTTTTTTTACCCTTGTTTTAATCGTAATTACCTCTACGCCTCATTTAAATGTTTGAAAATACGCAAAACATTTTAGTGAAACACAGAACAAAGGTTATTAATTCATCAGTGAATGTAAGCACTCGGCTAACTTGTAAGAATAGTACTGAGAATAAATTGAAGTGGTTTCTTCTGGGTGAAAATTACAGCTGTAAGTCCATCTCTGAAAGTCTGTATCTTTTTAAATATAAATAAAGAACTGAATCTCATTTCATCCTGTATTAACTAATTGAAACACAGAAATGATCAAAGATGGATTCAGAAATGAGATCAAATTATCCTTCAGATGCATGTTTCATCATTTTAAAGGTACACCGTGTGGGAATTTCTCCCTTCTAATGGTGAAATTGTACTTTGCATTCTAACAAATCTGCTCACTAGAGCCTCTGTTTTCAAATGGGTATTGCAGCTACGCTAGCTGTCATGCAGCAAGAAGTAATGACAGCATGACATCATGGAGTTTTTCTGGTGATGAAGTTTGCAATTTCAAAGAAATTATAAACTGCATTGAATCATTAGTGTGAGCCTGTACTTCCTCCTCTCACTTCTTACAGCTGGTTTCAGTCACGTGACTGAACAAAAATGCGTTGGATCAGCTAGACAGGCAGACTAGTGCTTTATGTTCCTTTCTTCCATTATAGTTTTATCAAAATGGTGGATTGCCATGGAAAACTCCATGTTTACCCGTCCTGTGTATATACAGATAGGAAATTCTTTGCTTATGAGGAGAAGTCAGATCATGGCAGAGGTAATTTTACACCAAATGAGGA